TGTGGAATTTTACCAAGAGCTTTACAATCTTTTTGAATCCAAGGGGATGAAGGCACAGAATATCATCTTCTCTGACGAAGCACATTTCTACTTAGGTGGCTTGGTAAATAAACAAATTTTTCGCTTTTGGGGGACTGAGTCACCACACGTCGTTGAAACCAAGTCTTCACGCCCGAAAAAAGTTACTGCATGGGCGGCAGTTACCATAAAGGGTGTTTTCCTTGAATTCCTCGAGAGTCGGACAATTAATGCTGACATTTACTGTGAGTACTTGAAAAAGAAGTTTTTTCCTTGGGCACGAAAAAATCAATTAGTCAAGAATTTCTACTTCATGCAAGATGGTGCCGCCCCACACAGGACTACTGGAGTATTTGAAACACTTTTTTCCGTTTACGGCACACGCGTGTTAGGTTTAGGTTACCCTACATATGCCCACGGGGCATGGAATAGCCGCCTTACAGTCCTTACTTAAATCTCTGTGATTTTTGCCTGTGGGGTTTTCTCAAGGACAAGTGCTATGAAAAGCATCCGACGACTGTGGAAGAGTTGCAAGACGCAATTAGGGATGCTGTCCGAGCTATTGATGAAAACATAATACAGCGCATCTATACCGGCTTCGAGCGTAGGATAGAGTTCTGTAGTACAAGTGATGGCGGACACTTGAAAGGGATGGTATTATAATTTGCCGAATGTTCTGTGTACAATAAAAAAAACAACAATTATTTACACTTANTGGGGTAGTGGAAAATGAAGGGGGAAAAGCGTCGAAATCAATTAAACGCCATGACGGGAATTTTGGACGGGCGGAGTAGTCGAAAAATGCATGGAAAATTGCATGGAAAAGGATAGAGTTCTGTAGTACAAGTGATGGCGGACACTTGGAAGGGATTGTATTATAATTTGTCGAATCTTCTGTGTACAATAAAAAAAAACAACAATTATTTACACTTAACTGTATTCAAGTTATTCGCAATTTACTTTTGTCACATACTATGGGACACCCTGTATGCAAATCTTGCATCAACCCCTCCACTCACTTTTGCGTGAATCACTCCGATCAGAAAATATTCCGTGTGAACCACTCCACTCACTCTTGCGTGAATCACTCCGAACAGAAACTTTTCTGAGTAAATCACTCGTAACAGAATGTATTCTGCATGAACCACTCTACTCACTCTTGCGTGAATCACTCCGAGTAGAAAATATTCTGCGAGAATCAGGCAGAATAGAGAACATTCAAAGCGAATCCCTCCCATTGATATAACTACTGCGTGAATAACTTCACTCACCCTTGCGTGAATTATTAGGGTCATCTATGTGACTAACGTTATTTCACCCCCCCCCCCCTAATTTTCTAAACAANCAAATGTGTTTTATTTAAACAAAAAAGGGCGGAGTCATATTCACACACCAAATAAATCCTGTATCAACCCCTCCGCTCACTCTTGCGTGAATCACTCCGAACAGAAAATATTTTGCTTGAACCACTCACTCTTGCGTGAATCACTCCGTGCAAAAAATATTCTACGTGAACCACTCCAGAAATATTCTGCGTGACTCACTCACATCTATGCAAATCCTGCATCAATTCCTCCACTCTTGCGTGATTCACTCCGAACAGAAAATATTCTGCGTGAACCCCTCCACTCACGCCTGCGTGAATCACTCCGAACAGGAAATATTTTGCCTGGACCACTCCACTCACTCCTGCGTGAGTCACTCCGAACAGTAAATATTCTGCGTGAACCACTCCACTCACTCTTGCGTGAATCACGCCGAACAAAAAATATTCTGCTTGAACCACTCCACTCACTCTTGCGTGAATCACTCAAACTACATTATCTGGTTCCCTGCGGGTCTCACTGCACTATCTACATGCCCCATGAACTACTCCATGCCTGCGTGAATCACTCAGAAAATCCCATGGAGTGTGGGACTGAGGAGATTGTAGCCCTGAGTGTCAGAGGTGAGAGACAACGATTGTAGTGGGGATTGGGAAAAGTGGGGGTAAATTTGAGGACCACAATCTCCTCAGTTCAACCATACGGAGTGCACCGGAGGGATTCACGCAGGAGTGTGAATAGCCACTGCCAATACTTCAATACCTTCTATTCGATTGTATGGATGTTAATAAATGTCAAAAGATGTAAATACTCATGAAAAATATACATATTAGAATTACAACTAGAAAAATCTTACATTCTCGAAAAAAAAACAATTTTTTTCAATTTGTAAAAAAATGTTGCGTTCAAGATCCAATAATGGAATAGGTCCAACAATGGACGTAAAGGATAGTAGATTGTGGTATAAATTTCATTCCAATTAAAAATGGGCTTTTTTAACAATCAAGTTTTGTGGTCAATATTTCGGTTTTTATACTCTAAAGGTGTTCAAATAACATTTGATAAAAAAATAAGGCCCAGGTGGATTATCTTTCGAACGTGATATTGGTTTTTTTTTATTTTGATAATCTGAAATGGTCTCCAATTGCTATTCAGTTTTACATAGCCCTGGAGTCTCCGAAAATTATAATTGGAAAAAACGTTGAAAAAAAATGAACATTTTCAAAGAGTGTTTTTGAATAATATTAAGAAACAAACCCAATAGAGAGGAAATGGCAAATTAATAATTTGATGCATCTAATGGCTGTTAGGTCGTCATTTGTCACAGTAGTCAATGGCTGTCAGATCGTTAGTTACCATGATAAATTGTCCATTCACTATTTTCTCTCTATTGGACTTATTTCTTAATTTTTATTAAAAACGTTCTTTGAAAACACTCAGTTTTTTCTGACTTTTTTTTATTGTACTATCATAATCTTTAGGGACTCCTGCGTGATGTAATATCCAACGAGAATAGTGATATATTTTACATTATGAAGATGGAGAAACAACGAGATAACGTTCGAAAGATAATCCACCCGGGCCTTAAATTAATTTTTTCAATTTGTCATCGAAAAACTGAAATTTTTTGTCTTCATAATTTTTCACGTAACTCATTACCAAAACCTGAAAATTGCGTCCGAAGGTAAACCTTCGATATTCAATTTTGGCTGAATGATTGATTAAAAAAATGAAAATATATATGGGGTATTCCATGTGAACTCACCCAGGTCAAAACCCTCACCATCGCCAATCATATTGCCGATTTTTTCTGTGTTTGTATATGGAAAAATATGACTTCTCAAATTTTTTCAGATTTTTTGAGGCGTCCTGTAGGCAGCCATGTTTTTTTTTGCAAGTTTTGTCTTCAAATGCCTGTAACTTCCGTAAAAATCAATCGATTTGAGTTTTTTTTTTACAAAATGTACGTCTTCAAACACACTTTCCATATAAAAATATGATAATTTTTTTCAATTCGTCCTTCCAACGATTTCCTCAGAAACACCTCAAAAAACTTCAAAAAACGAATCGTTTTCAAAGTTGGACCCTTTTTATATTGTTCAGAAAATTTCAGTGAATATATTGGACCAAAATAAAATTTTTCACCAAAGGCCAAAGTGGGATCTCTATTAAACACACCACTCGGAAAGATTTATTGTTAACGAATTTTCAAAAAATTCATCAAATTGTTCCAGATTCGAATATAATGCAGTGATTCTTCAGGGCGTAAATTCAAATAATGCTTCTGCGTTCAAATACGAAAAGAATTTTGAAATTTTTGAAATTTTTCATCCCGGATTCATTTATTCAAATTGAAAATAACGGTCACGAAATGGGAAGCCCACTTTGNGTCCTGTAGGCAGCCATGTTTTTTTTTGCAAGTTTTGTCTTCAAATGCCTGTAACTTCCGTAAAAATCAATCGATTTGAGTTTTTTTTTTACAAAATGTACGTCTTCAAACACACTTTCCATATAAAAATATGATAATTTTTTTCAATTCGTCCTTCCAACGATTTCCTCAGAAACACCTCAAAAAACTTCAAAAAACGAATCGTTTTCAAAGTTGGACCCTTTTTATATTGTTCAGAAAATTTCAGTGAATATATTGGACCAAAATAAAATTTTTCACCAAAGGCCAAAGTGGGATCTCTATTAAACACACCACTCGGAAAGATTTATTGTTAACGAATTTTCAAAAAATTCATCAAATTGTTCCAGATTCGAATATAATGCAGTGATTCTTCAGGGCGTAAATTCAAATAATGCTTCTGCGTTCAAATACGAAAAGAATTTTGAAATTTTTGAAATTTTTCATCCCGGATTCATTTATTCAAATTGAAAATAACGGTCACGAAATGGGAAGCCCACTTTGGCCTTTGATGAAAAATTTTGTGTTCGTCCAATATATTCATTGAAATTTTTTGAAAAATATAAAAAGGGTCCAAGTTTGATAACGACTCGTTTTTTGAGGTTCTTCTGAAGAAATCGATGGAAGAACGAATTGAAAAAAATTGGTATATTTTTATATGGAAAGTGTGTTCGAAGACGCACATTTTGTTAAGAAAAACTCAAATCGGTTGATTTTTACGGAAGTCACAGGCATTTGAAGATAAAACTTGCAAAAAAACATGGCTGTCCACAGGATGCCTCAAAAAAATCTGAAAAAATTTGAGAAGTCATATTTTTCCATATACAACCATAGAAAAAATCGGCAATATGATTGGCGATGGTGAGGGTTTTGACCTGGGTGAGTTCATATGGAATACCCCATATACGGTATTTTATATTCACCTGGTGGATGGTTGGTGTCATCCTCAACCAAATCTTAGACCATAAGGTTTTAAACCTCACGAGTTTACATGGAATGTCCCATATGCAAGCTTTAAATTCAAGGATTTGTGTTTACCAATACTGTCCAGTCTTTCCTTAATAATCGTTATAAAGAATGAAAAAAGAAACGAATGGCTAGAAAAAAATCATAGCTCACTTCCCTGGAAGTCTACGGGAATTGACGTATTCTTTAGTCATCCGAAAGCAAGATCATTCATGATAAGTGCAAGTCTCACCGAAACATCAAATTTATTACTGTTTGGCATTTCATGATACCATGACCATTACCTGCTCCTCCAGTCCCTTCTGGAAATGGGATACTCCCAGTGAGAAATACGACAACGTGATTCACATTGTCCGCATCAGGAACAGTAATCAAGAACTGATTTTGATTCATCTGCAGGATATTCGTTTCCACCTAGAAGGAGAAGAAAGTGTATCACATAACAAAAGCATCATTTGACATCCAAAAATGTTACGAGCCACTTGTACCAGATTTTGTTTAGCTATTTTGACTTCCTGAGTAACTATTTCTTTATAGAAACGAAATAGGTTAGCAGGCCTAGGCAGGTTTACGCGTTAAGGTTAGCGAAGGGCGGTGTAGTTGGGTGTACAAAAAATAATTACAAGAGATTCAAATTAAATGCAACACATACGAATAAGAAATCCTCTGTTTGCAGGCTGAAAAGCCGGCGCCTAGAATATTCTTATCATTAACCCAATGCTCAGATACACACTGGAAACTTTTAGTGTATGCAGATCCATTATCGATTTATTTACTCACCAAACGACCAGACACGATAATCCCAAACATTTTTAAAACCTTTGACATTATACAATAAATAATTCTGCAATCACTGAAATTACTTTATGTAAGGAAATGCACGTGTTTTTTATTGTAAAGAATACAGACGCCCATCGAAGCCCGGATCCGGGCGTTTATTTTTAGGCGTAAAACCCTCAGTACCCCGAGCGCGAGATGGCGCCAACATCAACTCGACGACGACCATAGACATATAAAACCTAGACCGCGCATGTGGTGGGGCAAGCTGTACAGGTTTAGGCAGAGAGAGATGCTCTCGGTCCCTACTTATCCTAGTTAGGCAGTGCTGCGAGTGGGAAGAGAGATGGGGTGCGTTTCGGAATCAACTACCGTAGCTGCAGTAAAGCGAAATAGATGCTGCCAGGTGGGAGTAAAAATTTAACTGCGTACGGGAAACCACGGAGAAACGTTTTCTCATCGTTTTATCGCAAATTAATATTTTTTTTTCGACATTAGAATTCATGACAATTGAAAGAATTGTAAAAATATTAGAATGGTGAATTTTTGTTGTGTGTGTGTGTGGTGTTGAACGATCAGCTGTCATGCATTGCGCATCTCACTTTCCATATGTATGATATAGTATAAATTACGTTTTTCGAGGACCATAAAAATAATAATATCAAATGATAATCATTGACTCGAGTATAATAATTGAGACCTACATCCTGAAACTATTGACATGTGATCATTAAAATTTTGGAGTGTCATTACGTACAACAATATTTTAAACAGAATTCACAAATTTATAGTGTCCTCACAAGACACAGAAAATGCGCACCCGCAGTACAATTTATTCGAGTTCCAATATAACAATTACAGTAAAAATTACTTATAAAGATACTAGGGGGCTGCGCCCCCTGCTCGCTCCGCTCGCAAACCCCAGGGGGGCTTCGCCCCACCCCGCTCGCTTCGCTCGGTCCCCCCTCCCCGTGTGGCGGAGTGAGTGCGGCCGGGAGGGTTTTTTCGATAGCTCTATACATACTTTACCATAAGAGGCCACATACGTATAATTCCCCCCCATATAGGGGCACCCCCAATAAATGGGTACCCCCATTTATAGGCACCCCCCATAAATGGGCACCACCATATATAGGTACCCCCCCATATATGGGCACCCCCCATAACTGGGCACCCCATATATAGGCACCCCCCATATATATAGGTACCCCCCATATTTTCGGCACCCCCCCATATATTAGCACTCCCCCATATATGGGCACCCCCCATATATATGGCACCCCTCTATATATGGGCATCCACCCAAATATGGGCAGCCCCCTTAGAACCCCCATGACCCTTATGACCCTTACCACTCCTATGACCCTCGTGACTCTTAGCACTCCTATGACCCTCGTGACCCGCAGCGCTCCTAAGACCCTCGTCACCCTTAGCCCTCCTATGAACCTCGGGATCCTTAGTACCTCTATGACATTTAGAGCCCCTGTGACCCTCGTGACCTGTGAGACCCTCGTGACCCTTAGCCCCTCTATAACCCTTATGACACTTAACATCCCTATGACCTTTAGCACTTCTCTGACCCTCGTGATCCTTATGTCCCTTAGCTCCTCTATGACCCTCGTGACCCTTATGACTCTTAGCTCCTTTATGACCCTTAACACCCCTATGATCCTTAGTACCTCTATGACCTTCGTGACCCTTAAGACCCTTAGTACATCTGTGACCCTCGTGGCCCTCATAACTCTTAGCCCCTGTATGAACCTTATGACCCTGAGCACCCCTATGACTCCTATGACTCTTAGGGCCCCTATGACCCTTGAGACCCTTGAGACTCTCGTGACGCTTATGACCCTTAGCCTCTCTATAACCTTTATGACCCTCAACATCCCTATGACCCTTGGCACCTCTATGACCCTCGTGACCATTATGTCCCTTAGCACCTCTATGACCCTCGTGACCCTTATGACGCTTAGCCCCTCTATGATGCCCCTTATGACTCTTAACACCCCTATGAGCCTTAGCACCTCTATGACCCTCGTGACCCTTAGCACATCTATGACCCTCGTGACCCTCATGACTCTTATGACCCTTATGACCCGTAATTATCACCATTTCATGTCTTAACAGAAGTCGATTTGGAATTTTATAATATAGAGAGATTATTCTCGACGAAAAAAAATCACATATGTAAACCTAGCAGACAAAAGTAGCAGAATCGAATTTTCAATATTGGACAATTTGCAGCTTATTGTGAGCTAATTTTATATGCCTTCAAAATTTTTTTTGCTAATACCGTTTTTGAAAAAAACGTCTCTGCTAGCTTTTTTGTAAGTTAGCAGAAAAATTATTTAAAAAATCAATAGAATTTGATTTTCGATATGGGATAATTTAAAGCTCATTAAGAGCTAATTTTCTACGTTTTCAAAAAATTTTCAGCTAACCCAGTTTTTGGAAAAACGGCGTTAATGCTAGCTTACCGCAAGTTAACAGAAAAAATGATTAAAAAATGAACAAAATTTAGTTTTCGATATGGGATAATTTAGAGCACATTAGCTGCTATTTTTTTACGTTTCAAAAAGTTAAAAAAAAAAAAAATTTCAAAAAAAAATTTTTTTCTGAATTTTCTTTTTTTTCACAAAACGATGCATTTACATACTTTTGACCAAAATGTAGAAATGAACTAAATCTCATTTATAAAAGTGGCAAAAAAATCAGTTTTGACATTGGATAATTGAAAACCCATTACCAGATAATTTGTTATAATTCCAAAAGTTTTCATCTTTATGCCGTTCGGAAAACAATAGGGTTGCGGCTTATCATCAGCTAATTTTATATGCATCTACAAAATTTTCTGCTAATACCATTTTAAAGAAAACGTATTCATTATAGCTTTTTTGTAAGTTAGCAGAAAAATTATTTAAAAAATCAATAGAATTTAATTTTCGACATCGGATAATTTGAAGCTAATTAAGAGCTAATTTTCAATATGCTCAAAATTTTTTCAGCTAACCCAGTTTTTGGAAAAACAGCGTCGATTCTAGCTTACCGCAGGTTAGCACAAAAAATGGTTAAAAAATGAACAAAATTTCGTTTTCGATATGGGATAATTTAGAGCTCATGAGATCGGCCGCGCGTGCTGCGCACGCGCTGTCTCATCTCATCCCGTGTTGTCGCTTTGGTTTTCGCCTGACTTTTATTCGAGATTCCGAGATATATTGTCTTCTTTTTTACTAAAAAACCAAAATTAAAAAATTGAAAAAAAAATAGCATAGGAATACGATAGGACCATAGGATATCACCTCGAATCCCTCTCCTTTTTCTTCTAACGGTCGGAAACGAAGACGAATTCATTCATTATTTACTATTTGAAATTTGATGATGAATGAGAAATTGTATGCGTTATAAAAGTGGTGTAATTATGGTGTAAATTTTTCAGCAGAAGAGATGGTTGCATTGAAAAATTGAAGATCGTCAAGAAAAATCTCCTATCTGAATAACTCTATATACACATAATTCTTAACTAAATTACATTTTCTTTCATTCTTCAGGAAAACTCTCGGAGATTCCCATGAACGGACTCGCGAAAATGCAACGTATAATTGGCCATGGTTGAAAACATCCTTGCGTAAATCTATCCCAATTTTGTCAAAAGTTTGCCCTTGACTTTTGTTTATTGTCATCGCAAACGCTAATTTGATTGGGAATTGACGACGTTTGAAAGTGAATGGAAATATATTCTCGCAATATAATGTTACGCGATTGATAAATACAATGTCTCCTGCCTTGTCTCCTGTTAATATTCGGCATCGCTGGAGATGGTTGGAGAGCTCGATAATTTGTAACCTCGTTCCATTGCATAAACCTTCATTGATGCTCAAATTTCTGAGTAACATAACAATAGAATCTTTTGGAAAAAATTTGGAGGATTGAGTGTGTTCAAATATTCTGGTAAAATTGCATCATTGATATCCCCATTGTCACAATTTTCCACGCTATCAATACCTGTATAGATCCGCTCAGTTGTTTCGTCCAAGAGTTCAATCGCTTAAGTATTGATTTCATCAACGTCAACATTTCGCGCAGCCAGTACCGCGGTCTTTGCTAAGTCTCCGAACCGGCGTTCCTCAATAAGTTTCTCAAATATTACTGCTACGATATCATCGGTATTGGCAGCTATGCATTGTTCTGGAGGTAACAGATTGTCATCTTTATCGTTCAATTCCCCATTACCTACTGATCAGAGATATATCGCAAATTCAATCTCTCCAGGTAAAGCACGCATCTTTTCAGATAGTGAACATATTCTGAAGTTTTTCCATAAAGGACTGAATTCGATCGATGAACTAACCAATTCACATCGTGTAGCATTGGGAGTAACTGGCAATAACTGCCTGAAATCTCCTCCAAATAGCATAATTTTCCCACCGAATGGTAACTTGTTATGCATTAAATCCCGCAATGTTCGATCAATTAATTCCATTGCAGATCTGGGGGCCATAGGTGCTTCATCACAAATGAAAATGTCGACATCTCTCAAATATTTTGCGTCTCTTGATTGGCTTTTTATATTTGAAACTGAATCCGGGAATAAGGGGACGGGTATACCGAAAGTTTTATGCAGAGTCTTTCCATGAGGAAGTAAGATAGCGGCAATACCCATGAAAGCCATCGTACAAATTGATTTCCCTCGAGCTTTCAATAAATGATACAAAGTTGTGTAGACAAAAGTTTTCCCTGATCCACCAGCACCATCAATATGAAAACAGGAGCATCTCAGTTCTTCAGTAGATAGTACTACGTTCGAAATCTTATCAACTATTTCTTTTTGTTTCACATTTAATTGACTATACTGATTTTGACCAATAGTCACATGTTTCTATTGATACTTGGTCATCGTTGCTATCATTGCTATCGGTTTCACTTTCAACTACCGGAGGCATTGTAGGGAATGCGCTTATAGTTGATCTTTCGTTCATCAAAAGTGCGTTGATATGAGCGTACGCTTTCTTGTGAAATTCAGATTCATTATGATTTCGTTGAAAGTCTTGAGAGAAAGCATCTTTACATTTCTCCCGCAATTGTTCCGGATGATTTGGATGACAATATAGTAAAATACTCACAAATAAATTTCTTAGTTGTTGTAGCATCATCCAAATTTCCCCTTCAGTTAGAGCACGATCCCACTCTTGATCATCTT